AGTGCATGTGATATTTCAAATGAATAATAATAAACAGTATATTTCTTTTCTCAGTTTGTTTTGTCTTTGCCCATGGGGGAGTGGGGAGGGATGACTAGGTTTGCGCGCTCATTCTTTAAGTTCTATGGCACAGGGCCACTGAACCTGTCCTCTGTGATCATGGGTTTCCCAAGGCACCTCTTCCTGTAGGGGAGTCCACTCAGAAAACCGACTGAATTACAGATTAGAAGGCTGCATGAAGAGGAGAAAATTAGGAAAAGAGGAGATGGATCTCCTTAGGAGTATCTGTCATTGCAGTTTCTGTATATAAGGTAGGTTCTGGTACTAGCTCATTTTCAAGCCTTCCCTTAGGATTTCTGCCCTTTTATTTTTAAACAAATAGTAGCATACTCACCATACTGTTTTGTACCATTTTTCCAATTATTGAACATATCTTGGAGACTTCACATCAGTAAAGCACTTTCTGAAACAGCTCTGTGGTTTTCCATTGTATGCCTGGGTGTATCATGTTGACTTAACTAGTCCTCAATTTATGGACATTTTTGTTTTTCTATGATAAACAATTCTGTAATCAATTTTACAGAGTCTACTGATACTGGAAATCGAACAGAGCCTTCAAATAACTTTGTAAACCGCTATGGCTAAAGCGGAACCCTATTTCGGCTGCCTAACCGGACCTGTAAGCTCTGTGTTAATTACAAAATTTAGTTTTCCAGCATCGTTTTAGGAAGGTGACTGTTAGGGATTAGAAAGGGACTAGAGGAAAGTTTATCTTGAGCAATGGATGTAACGTAAACTTCGGTTTTGGTCGTCAAAAAGGGGAAACTACCATTAAACACTAAGGGTAGCCACTGGAAGAGGCTAAAGGCAGCTTTAATATTCTAAAAATATTTTTTATTAAAAATTTTTCTAGCATTTAAATACATATTTCAATGACAGCTGAAAGGGCAGCTGTTAAACCCCACGACGTGGGAGGCTGGGGCGATGAGGACTTAACTCCCCGGGACGCTCTGTGGTCCGAGAAGGTGGCGGCCGCAGTGTTAGTTTCCCCTCCGATCCGAACGCCCCTCAGTGCCTCAGTTGCCATGTGTCGCCGCCATTGTGACGCGAGCCTGCGGTCACGTGGCCAGTCGCCCGCAGGCTCTGCGGCCCCGCCCAGCCCCGTCCCAAGGTCACGTGCCGCCCGCCGTCGCGCCCGCCCCCGACCGCGCGCGAGATGTACCGGACTCTCTTCTTCAGGTAGCCGCCGCCGCGTCCAGCTTTCCGCCTCGGCCCGGCCCGGCGGCCCTGCCCCCGGCCGCCGCCCATTGGCCGCATGGCGTCACCCAGCGTCCCCATTGGCTCGCGCCGCTGCCTGTCGCGGAGGCCGAGTCGGATCCAGTGGCCGCGGGGTCGCCGGCTGTAGGGCTCCGGCCTCCCTTACCCGGCCCGGACCCCCCTACGCGACCTCACTGTCCTACCGACCCCGCCGCACCCTGCCCGCTCCCGCTGGCCCCGAACCGTCCGGTCTCCGGGCCGCGCCTACACCGAGCTCCGTTCCATTTCGAAAACCCCTACGCAAAGTCCCTCGATGTGCCTTCCACTGAGAATCCAGTTCGTGAGGGTTTAAAAATGTTTCTCTTTTTGTCATGTCGCCCCCGCTCACCCATGTTTTGATTTGCGACTAAATGGGCTATTTTTGTAGCCCCGGCCACGTGCGGCTGTCGAGGTGTGAAGTGTGGGCGCCGGGCGGAACGCGGGGCTGGGGGCTCAGCGCGGAGGAAAGAGAAATAGCGCAGCAAGTTTTAAAACACCGACTACAGGTTGAAACGATACACGAATATATGAGATTAGATAAATGTCTTTTCATTACTGTGGCTGCTAGAAATTTTCAAAGTGCTGTCTTGCTTGCGTTGATTTCCTTTTGGATTGTGCTGTTACATGTCTGCTGTCATTCGGCTACTGCTTTAATTTTTGAATTGTTCTTATTCGCATGCCAGTCCTGTAAATTATACATATTCTAAGCTCCTTTATGGTTCAGGCCAGAAAACAATTTGGCCAGTCACTAGAACTGTTCGTTAGAGTACCTTTTCCAAACTGCCACAGAACAGTAAATGATTTGGTATAATTAAGGGCAATCAGTCTGGCCTTTATAGAATTCAGGCCTAGTTTCTTTCTTTTAATATACTTTATTTTTTTTAGAGCAGTTTTAGTTCTGAAGCAAAATTGAGCTGTAAGTACAGAATTCCCATACACCCCTCCCCCCCCCCCCCCCCCCCCCCCCCCCCCCCCCCCCC